GAGGTATAGTCTCAAAGAATAATATTATAGATAGAAGTATAAAAAAAATGATTGACCGAGCAGCTGCAGCTTCAGGGTCAACTACACAATCGTCGTGAGTCAATCAGCAGTTCGTTTTATCTTTTTTTTTTTTGCCTATAATGGAACTATAGTCAAGAGTTAATGGATAACGACGTTAGTAGAACTAAAAGAATATGAAGGAACGAAGACATACAAGGATAAAAGCATACATTCTTATACACACAAATTATAGGCTCCTGTTGGACAGACGAAGGAGAGATAGTAGTAAAGATATGCAATTATCCATTTCCAGTCGGACCGCGCCGACCTTCACGCACGCATATGAGATCAACTACTGAATCGTAGGAGTGTTGACATATATGTTGAAAGATGATGGATTGGTTTGAGGGACGAACCACTTTCGCCGATACTCTTCATAAATGAGCTGTGTATATACACACATATATGTGTAAATGCATCTATAAAAATACTATTGTATTTTTATACAAGGTAAGTGAACATAAACCAGAGACACTTTTAAGTGGTATCATATGTATAATACATAGAGAAAGAGCAAAAAGAATCCTAATCATTAACAGTTTTTTTTATTACATAATTATGTTTTTATTATCGAGCTAAGAAAAAAGTTATCAGAAGAGGATAACTGAAGCCAAATGAATTGATATTTTGTTTGTTTTGAAGTGTTTTATATGTGCAATAAGAAGAATAAAGTTACTTCTTTATTATACAGTAAAGAGAAGATCAAATTTCTATTAAATGTTTAATATACACTAGAACACGTACTTCAATGATAATTTCGTGAAAAAATTCCATTTGTAATAATAATTATCGTGTTACATTAAATTATTTGTTTTTTTTATCATGAATATTATATTTTTAGATTAACACAAAAAAAAAATGATTTTACATTTATTTTTATTATTATTTCAATGGCAAATTAAACAAATATATGGAGAAACTATTAGTGGTTGTACAATAAATAATAATAATCGACGAATAAATAATGATAAAACATCAGTTACATTATCTTGTGCTAATAATGGTTATATTTTAGTTAGAAATTTAACATTTGGTGTACATAAAACTTCATCATTAGCAATAAAACCAACTTGTTCATATCAACCAGGAGATTGTACAACAAGGACAACATATATTGGAATGGAATGTAATGGACTTACTACTTGCGATCTAGATTTAAATCCACAATATTTACATATATGTAAGTGATATTTAGAATTCTGCATGAAGTCAACTAAAATTTTTTGCTAAAAATTTAGTTTTAACATATGAATTTTTTTTTGAATATTAAGTTTTCTTCTCTGATATTTACTGTATTTCGCTGGTTGCCGATCTGGTCCGGTCGAAATTTTGAAACTGGTCGGTTCGATCCGTTAAAAAAATAACTCGATCGGTTCAAAGTATGCAGTAGATATTTGAAAATAAAACGTACTATTCAAAAAAAAAAGTTCATATTTCAAAAGTGAATTTTCGATAGAAAAATTTAGTTGACTCCGTGCACGACTCTAGTGATATTAAAGTCTATGTCTAATGATGAATACGAAAATGTTTATTTATTTATTTTCTTTTGTTTGTGTTATGTATAATAGGTAGTCAATACAGTGATTACATGGTACTCGATTATTCATGTTTACAAGGTCAAAGTATATCTGTTTGTGATAATCGTTTAATATCAACGTCATTAAATAACGAACATCGTTTATTTCTTCGTAGTCCAAATTATCCATATGAATATGAAAATTCATTAAATTGTTCATGTGAAATAAATGCAAAAAAATCTCATATAAAATTTCTTGATTTCTACCTTGAAGAACGTGATGAAATAAATATATGTTCACGTGATAATTTACAAATTGATAATCGATCATATTGTGGTTCAACTATTGATGAAAATAATTTTTTATCATCATCGATTATTTTTAATTCATCATTTCAATTAATATTTAAAACAAATGATGTTATTACAAGAAAAGGTTTTTGGTTAACAGTTAATAGTGAACAACCATTACAAGTATCATGTAATAATCTAGTTGAATTGACTTCTACAACAACAACAACAACAACAACAACTACAACAACAATTACAACAATAACCACAACAACAACAGCAATTCATTATTCAATATCAACTTCTCCTATTCCGCTGACTGAATCATCTAGTTTAAATCATAATAATAATACTAATAAACGTCGTCATACACTTTCATATATTCTTATATTAACTATAGTCTTTGTTGTTATTCTTTTATTATTAAATCTTATTTTAATTATACTTTGTTGGAGACAACGACGACCAAAAGACAATATTAATTCAAAAACTAATTGTACCACTCGACCATTTTTTTGTTCAATACGTTCATCAACATCAACATCATCGTCATCATCATCGATAACATATGGTGAAACACCAGTTTTAACATCACTTGATACACAAAAACAACAAACATTATCAACAAGATATATTTTTCAACCAAATTCACAACATTTAGATACAACACCATCAACATCAACAACGACAACAACAGGTCCATATGAAGATCCTCAAGAATCCATGACATTACAAGGATCATATAATAAAGAAAAATTATCTGATAATCATTCAATTTATATGCAATATCGGCCAACATTTTCTTCTCCGAATACTGCTTATAATCGAATGATTCATTTTCCACCGGCACCTATTCGTTGTCATTTTAGTACACCAGTACAAACTTTTTATCCTCCTCAACCATTGTTTGATTCTCAACATATTTATGAAACCATACAAGATGGACATTGTCCATATCAACGATTAGCAGCTACACTTCGTCGACAACAACAACAACAACAACAACCATCACAATGTACATGCCATTATGAACATAATGAAGAACTATATCCAACAAGAACTCATAATAATGAAAATTTAAATACTATATCTAATCCGGAAACACTAGTCTGATAAGAAGGAGAAATGAGATTTGAGGCGAATTTTGTTTTCTTCTTATCTTGCCATGTTTTAATATTTTTTTTTTGTTATTGTCTTTATTTGTGTGATGAAATGAAATAATAATAGAACATTTTTTATCTAAATTAAACAAAACAATCTATATGTATAGTGCCGAACAAAAGTTTAGAGCAGGTGGATTTTTAAATTTTCTTCTCGATGGTAATAGCTAGTAAGAATCTGAAAAAAATAATTGTATAGCTGAAAGGATTCTCTATTAGGATTGGTAGGTCTAAAGACTTCAGCAAAACTACTTGAATGAGAGTATGCGAAAAATCGAGACCCCAAAATCAGTTTTCTAACGTCCATTTGAATCTGTTGGAAAAAGATTCTGAGTAAAATGATATGTCTCTATGATCTTCCTTCGTCGAACTACATTCAATTTACCGAAGCATCCACAGCGTCAAACATGACAGAAGTATTGAAAGTCTCAATAGAAAAAAAGAGAACAATGCTTCTTGAACTCTCTGTAAATTGAATGCAGTTTGATAAAGGAAGGTCATAGAGACATGTCATTTTGCTCAGAATCTTGTCTTAAAAATTTCGAATGCAAGCCAGCAAGCTGGTTTTGGAAGTCTTAGTTTTTCGCACACGTCCATCTAAGCAGTTTTGCTGAAATCTTCAAGCCTATCACCCTTGATAGAGAATCTTTTCAGCTGCACAACTGTTTTTTTTTCAAATTCTTGCTAGTCATTACCATCAAGAAGAAAAATTAAAAGTATAGCTGCTCTAAACTTTTGTCTGCTACTATAAGTTGTGAATTATCTGCAAAATAACATTTCTTTTTTTTTTATTAACTATAAATATTTGAAAACTATTACAGAACAAAATCTATACAGTAAAAAAAAGTCTTAACACATTCTCCATGTATCCATTGTCCTTCGAGTTTTGTTCCATCAGAAGAATAAAAAATACCATTTCCATGCAATTTTCCACATAAAAATTCACCTTCATATCGATCACCATTTGCCCATGTATACACACCTGTACCTATACGATCATTATTTATTCAAAATCCAACATATTGATCTCCATTTGGCCAGATATAAGTTCCTTCACCTTCACTTCGACCAAATAAATAATCTCCAATATACTGATGACCATCAAATGATGGTCGTGATCCTTGATCATAAAGCAAACCAATAATAAATTGACCACGATAGATATCTCCATTACTGGCTCGATAAATACCTTCACCTGTACATGTATTATTTAACCATTGACCAAGATAGATACTACCATTCGACCATTTATATACACCATAACCATGTCGTTCTCCAACATCATTGAATTCGCCATAATATTCATCACCAACGGAAAATTGTTGTCGTTTTGTTTCTGACATAATAATGATTAATTTGAATTCTATTCTTTATAGCAAGATTATTATATCTTTTAAAAGTGTTTGATAAATAGATATATGATTATTTTAAATCATACCACTGATCTATACTTTTTGTAAGAAGAGAATAGATTTTATGCATAATAAGGAAGCAGAAAAAAACTACCAATAACAATCGAATGTAAGAAAATATAGGGAATTTCCAACACGCATGACTTATGTTTAAAAAATCCAACATATAAGAGTGATAAAAGAACGCATGTATAACATCATATAACGTAACTTTTTGTACAAAAAATTTCGTAAAAGAAAATACCAACTACACTTGTCTGTAATATTGATCAAAAAAATTTCATTAAAATAAATATCAGAATGTTATGGAAATAATTCTTCCAGTAATAAAACATGTTTCATAAATTTAAAAAACATTAAATACAAAATCAAACATTACTTTATAGATCACACGATGAATTAGATTTGTTCTCCTATTTCTATTGTATTAAAAAAGAAATTAAATAATTGTTGAAAACTAATATCATAGATGTTTATTTAGTTTTAACGATCACGAGAAAACATATGATCGATTTTAACAATAAAAATAATTTCCTACGTAATATGAAAACAACAAAAGCTCTAAACAAGATATTTTCCATCATCAAATAAACATGTATTATCATCAAGTATAGTTATATTTTTAAGATCAATAAAAACATCAATATGAAATCGTGTTTGTTTTGTTTTAATAGCACTGGTTTTATAAACATTATGTTTTTTTCCAAGACTTATATGCATACCATGTTGACGTTCAAATGCAGAAATATCTGTTACTATTGCTGATTTTCCCATACCTAAATAAAATATATTTAGTTAAATTTAAAATAGAATAAATGAATACCTTCATTTAATCCTAAACCAAATTCACGAACACAAATTTCACCTTCACCATCTCGAATAAGTGTTAATAATTGATTAAATGTTTCAGTTGAATTTTTTGGATAGATACCATTTTCAGGATCAAACTCTATAAGACCATTTTTGATTGTTAATACAATTGGTTCAGGTGGTATTTCCAAAGTTTTAGCTAACGATGGATATGCCCAAATAGACATTTGTCCATTTACTTTCGATAAATCACGTGATTCAGTAAATACTTCTCTAAATATGTTTAAAAAATAATAATTCAAACAAAATTATTCTACAAAGATTCTTACCCAATTGGATATGTACCACCAATTCCTGACATACCTTTATAGTCACCAATATTTAATTTACAATCATTCATACCACCCGTATATTCACATTGACTACCATCTTGACATTCAACCTATGAAATGATCTTTAGATTAGATTATTTTCTTGAATTAAAAAAAAAACTTACTAGAACTTTTTGACATTTATCTAATTTATCTTTAATACGTAAAGCAAGATCACGATATTTAACAGGTGAAAAAGCTAATGATTCAACATAATTTTTATATTCTTCAGGTTTAATAATATTTAAATGAAGATGTTCAATAGTTTTAATATTTCGTTTAAATAATTCAAGACGTATCCGATATTCATTTAAACGAAATTGTTGAGATTGAATAAGAATAACACAATCATTTGCTTTTAGTGTTGCTAAATGAGCTAATATATCATCAGCTGTATGCTGATTAAAATTTGTAAAGTCAATATTTGTATGTTCATTAGCTATATCTGCATAAGCAGCTGTTAGTATTTGTGTTAATTCAACATCTTCATCATATAATATATAAACACGTTCCGATGGTTGAATATGAAGTGAATCATGTAAAATAGCTCGAATATAGGTTTTTGCTCGATCAACTAAATCTGCACCTTCATTTGATAATTCTTTTGTTGGTTTATAATTCGAAGTAATTAATGGTGATTCTGTTTCTGTCACCATTTTGATTTTCTACAACAAGAAAGTCGATCTATTATATACTCTTTTTCCTATAAACAACAACAAAAAAAAACACAGATTTGATGAACAGTATATTTTTTTGTAATGAGAGATGAAAAAAAAAATAGAGAACAAAATTTAAACAAATCGTCGTCGTTTAATTGCTGTTGGTGTTGACGAATAATCATTTTCATTACTATTATTATCATAAACTTGTGTCCAAATATAATTAAATGAACGTTTATTATCTGTTGTCATTGATTGTGGATATGTTTTAACTTGATAATAATCAGATGGTGCATGACAAACAAATGAAAGGGAATTTAATGAACGTGGATATTCTTCATTAGGTCCTTTAAAAAGAAGAACAAAAAAAAAGAATCAAAACAATAATTTTAAAATTAAACAAAAAAAAGAAATTTTTTTTTTACCTATTGAATAAGCATTTGGATCAAAATGAAAATTATTTGTTGATGCTTTTAGTGATGTTGGTAATAACCATGTTAGAAAAGCAAATGCATTTACATGTTCATCTTGAAATAAAGCACGAATTTGAGCATAAAAACATGAGAGATTCGCATCAATTAAATATACAATATCACCAACTTCAAAACGACGTCCCTATTTAAAATCAAAAAATAAACGAGATTTATATTTAAATGTTTTTTTTTTTATTTTACTTTTGAATATAAAACATCTGATAGTTTGAATGTTGTTGACTGAGATAAACATTTTTCAGGCTAAAATAAAAATTTGAAGGTTTTTATTTATTATTTTTTTATTTACTTTATATTACTTTTTTTGATTTAAATGCAAGAGTTTTTCTATTTGAACGAAATGATGGCTGTTGTCTTGTAGAAATTTTAATTGGTATTTGAGATTTAATTGGTTCAATAATTCTTGATCGTTTTGATTTTGTTATAATTGATGAAGAAGTTGATGATGATGATGATGATACTAATTGTTCATCTTTATTTATTTGTGTTGAAAAATGAAAACGATTTTCAAATGTTGTTAAATCTTCAATATTTGTATCGATACGTTTTAATTTACAAAATTGATTCGAACTTTTTGAATCATTTAAAAAACAGTTATTACATAGTAGAAGATCACGAGCTGGTACACGCCAATAAACGGATGTCATCGTATCACATTGACGACAGCGTGGTTTACGTGGATCAATTCTTGAAGAAAAAAAATATTAAGTTAAGAAAAAAAAATTTTTTTGAAATCATAAATAAAAACTTACGTTGATTGCTGATGAAATCGAGACATTTCTAACGAGAATTTTATCTCGTTTGTTTAATAGAAACAAATTTCATTAAAAATGTTGTATGTGTGTGTATGTGTGAAAGCTTTTTATTCTATTCTATAGCAGAATGTTATCAGAACCAATCAGATTTGGATATTTATTGAACACAAGAGGGCGCTGAATATTAATAAAATCAGCAGTATTTCTAATGACAAATGCACCAAGCACAAGTAAGATACCACTCATATTTCACAATTTGCTCAGAAAGCAGAGCATATGTAGTATACATAGTTGATTAAATTACGTTTTCTTTTCCAAGACGAACTTTTAATAGGAATTCTTTCAGCATACTTTACTTTTTTGTTCTGTTCTCCAATGTTACTTCAATAAAGTTAGGACAAATCAAGGAAAAAAAATGTGTCTTTTTCGCATATCGTGTTCTTTTATTGCTTATAGATATTTTTTTGTCAAACGATAAAAGAAATGAAATTTGTCTTCCTTTATCGTTTAATATCTTATTACAAAAATTTCGTTAGTGTACATTTTGATCTACTCTGCTTATGGTAAAAAAAAATGTACATGTACATATTGCTGTGGATTAAACAATGTGTACTAAAACATTTTGGATTATCTATTAGCAACGTTGATTATAAAAATATCGGTAAATTCACATTAAAGCTGTCAACAGATCACTTTTTTCCGGTCTGGTCCGGGATGTAGGACAAATCAAATCGACTGATATTTTCGGTTTTTTAAATCCACTAAGTTTTATAATGTATCATTCTAGTTTCATTTATATGCTTGATGTATTTTCATGAAGATAGTCTAATGACAAATTCTTGTACGAAATAGTGAATTAAAACAAAGATATAAATCATCAAAAATATTTTTTATACAAGTAATACGTTGAATTTATCAAAATGTTTTTGAACATTTCAGCATTGTTTCGTATAATCTGAAAAAAATCAATTATGATGAAAAAACAATATATGATAAGGCATACAACAAAGAAGTCAAAATGTGGATGACTGTATTTGTAGGGATGACACACATTCTACAAAAATCATAAGCTTATGGAACCATCTTATGTTTTGAGTTATACTAGGAAAAATAATATTATATCACACACAAGTTAACAACTTTGGCCGAACCTGATCTATTAACCCGGTTTAATACTAAATGGGCAGATTAGGCCAGGCTTACAACTCTGATGCACATTAATTTCAAGTGTTCGTCACTGAAAAAAAAATAACAACCAGTCAATATCGAGATTTTAGATTTAATATTGTGTGAATTGTAGAAAGAGTTTGCTTGTTCGAGTAATAAAATGATATCTTTAGTTCAATGCTTCGGATATAGAAATGATTATTGTCAGAAAATAGTAACAATTTAAATTTACTCAAGACTTGAAATCGAAAATGTGTTGCATATTATGCTGAAAAATGCTTGATTTAATTTATCGAGTTATCATTATTGTCGTAGTTATTACAAATTACTGTATAAAGGTCTTATTTATATCTGCATCGTATTTTTCATTGTGTCATGTATATGCTAAGAACATTCGGGTAATAAGTGTTCGAATGTTTCGTCATCATCCGATATATTGTTGTTTATGGTAATAAACAAGTTTGTGCAATCCATCGAATACTTGATTCTGGCTCATTTTCACGAGCATCCTTAACTTCATTGATTTTTTCTTCAGTAATTGCTGTAAATTTTCCAGAACGTGATAGATTTGATTTGTAGCTTAGCTGACTCGAATTCGGTCATTTGTGAAACTATTTTAATTCTGATTTCTATAGACACGGACATTTTATCTGAAATACGAGATCAAATTGTAAGAAAAAAAAATTTAAATCCCTCGAATTGCTGAGGAGTTATCGAAAAGTTTGTTTTCCATTCGAACTTTTGGAACACCCTGTATTTCTGTTAATAATTTAATCATTCAATGATTCTCTTTCCTTTTTCAATCTTATTGATATCAATATTCAAATTACTTGAGCAATTAACCTGTGATGAAGTATGCATTTACCTATTGATTTTAAGGATCAGTTTAAAAGATCAATGCTGAATAGTTCTGAGGACTGTCCTCTATTCATAACAATGAACAATATCTTTCGTTTTACAGTATACATGTACAGCAGTAAATCTTTTTTTTTCTTTTGCCAATAATTGTCAGAAATTTTCGAGTTTTCTAATCACGATTTCTATTATGAATTTTGTTTTTCATTGGTGAAAGAAATACGTTTTTGATGATAAACTTCTTCATCAGTCTAAATAAATATTTAAATTTATTAACTGTATTTATGATTGAAAATCTAACCTGTCCTAGAAGTACACTCCAAAAATTGCTTATATCAGGAGATGATTTAAATCGTCGACAACCTGCTACTAGATTATATCCCCATTCTAATTGTAAAAGTTCATCATCAGGAAAACGTTGTTTCAAATAAATATGTACAAAATCAACAAGAGATATTTTAATATTTTGTTTTGAAGTTGTTGTAGATTCTTGTTCCAAGTCATATTCAATCTTCTATAATAATTAAAATAATTGAATTTCTAATGTATTTATTAAAAAAAAAACAAAACAACAAACTTTTTTCCATATATCTTCAATTAAAAGAGAAATATCTCTTTGCATAAAATGTCGATTACGAATATTCGATGTTGTTTGAAGAAATTTTGGTATTGTTGGATCAAGACCAAGACCAATAAAATTTACAACATTATTATACTATATGTATATTCAAAGGAAAAAAAAAATTTTAGCACAAGAAAAGTTTTTTTTTTATATACAATATCATTGCCACCAATAATTTCATTCAGTAAAATATCTACAAGTTCATTACTTGTTTTTCCAATAGATAATTCATTCCAATGTTCTATTCCACCTTCAATTATTGATGCACATCGTTCCCATTTTGGTCTAAATATTTATATTTTACTTCAAATATGTTTTTTTTTTGATTTTATAAACCTAGGAGTTAAAGTAGCACGATAAGTTTCACATAATGTAAAATATTTATCTCGATCTTTAATTAAATATTCAAGTGCTTCTTTCAATGCACTATTGTTGAAAAAAGTTAAATTATTATTGTTATTCTTTTTTTCTTGTTTTGAAATTAAATATATACTTATATTCAACTTTAGCATTACGAAAATTTTGTTTTAATTGTTCCGATGCTTTAACAAGTTCATCATATGTTTGTTGAAGAGCAAGATATTCATTTTTAGGAACATATTCCTTATTATCTTCTTTTAATTTAGTTATACGACGTTCAGCTTCTGCACAATCAAGACGACATCGTCTAAAACATATGAAAGATTTTTATTTTCTTGAATTTTCAAGAAGTTTTCTACAAAAAAAAACACCTTATAGCTACACGAAGTAATACGGGGTCATCAAGTACAGTATTTAACATAGTATTTATATATTCCGATGTTTTACCGATAAAACTTGTTTTTAAATCTTCGATATTCATATGTTTTATTTCAGACGATGAATTTGTTGTAACTGTTAATGATTTACTTGTTTCATCAGTATTCATATCTTTCAAACAGCTGATTTCAAATTAATTATGCTATCACACTACTTTCAATCTTTATTTTTCATTAGCTTGTTTACATAACAAAAACACAAAACATACAAAACTATGGCGAGATTAAAAAAAACCAATATTAATTTTACTTCTGAATATCAATTTTTTCATTTTCACCTAGAGCTTGAGGATTTTTAGTTACTGCGGCTTTAGCCATTGAATATAATTGTACCATTTTACTACTGGGTGAATCCCAATATTCACCATAATTAGCTGTTACTTTCATTAATATTAAATCTGGATCATCTAATCCTTGAGGAAAAAATACTTTTAAATAAGATGACCAAAGTTCTTTTAATTTAGCTTTATCATCAACAAATTCAGCTTTACCACTAACAGAAACAAATGACATTTTATTTGGATCTCCATAAGATACATTAACTTGATCAAGATTTTGTTTAACTTCTTTAACTTTAGGAGAAGATTGTTTAGTAAAAAACCATAATGTACCATCCCAAGTTTCGGCTTGACGACTTGCCATTGGCCGTGAACGAAGACTCTTATCTGATTCAATTGTTGTACTAAAATATTTTTATAGAAATAAATTTATTATTAAAATCAATTATAATTTACATCATAGCATAACGAATATCTTTAATTAAATCAAATAATTTCTTTGTTTTATCATCATTAGTTGTTGAAATAAAAGCTAAACTTTGACGTCCAATTAAATTTACATTTTTAAATTGAAATAAAGTTGTTTTAATCAATGATTGCTACAAAATAAATATTAATATGATAAAAGATTCATATAGATACACTTACTGCAAATCGATTCATTGTTATATTATCGTATAATTTATTAAATAATTATTGCGGAGAAAGATCAAGATGGACTTATCAAACTAAACATAAAACTACCAATTAGATTTATTTTTGAGAGATGTCATTAAATGTTATAAACTTTGGAAAACAGATGTTATCCATTGAAATGATTCAATAGAACAATACAAAAAATTAATTTTTTCTTTATCCAAAAGATAAACATAAATATAGTGAAACAAAATCTTTGAAACATCTGGAAAATAAATCTCATTTTGGCATCAGATTTTCCCTTTTTCTTTCTGTTTTATTTTTCTGTTGACATTGTTATCTATCCATTCATCGTTCATTCATTCTATTATTTCGATGTATGAACAATTGACACGCGAACTATATTCGTACATCTGTGCAAATACAAATTAAAATCTCCCAAATCGATGAGTGGAATGTACATGATAATATAAACATATAATTACATCATCATCAAAAAAAAAACATAAAACAAGAGTCTTAAGTATCATTGAACAAGTCAATTAAAACAAATCTTTATTTATTAACGTACTCTTCTTTTAATTAAGATAAATAAGTATTTATATTTAAATAGAAATCTATTTTACCTGATATATTTTCTAGTTCAGACATAAAAAGAAAAAAAGGCACCCTGTAGCGATAATTGACTACAACTACGCACGACTAGTGTCTCGACAATTTCTTTCATTAATTGTTATCGTATATAAAAGTCTATAAGTTGTCGATCGTTTATCGAAGAAAAAAAAAGCAAAAGGAAAAACATATAATAAGAGTTGTTAGATACGCATACACCACACACACACACACATATATGTCGATTGATCTGACTGTTGATATATACTGTTCATTGATGATTTGAGAATATGTATATATGTGTCATATTCTATAGGTCATATGATGACCAAGGAGAAGTGTAAATAAGATCAAACTCATGGTACATTGAATAGAAAAAGAAGAATGATTATTTGATACAAGACGTTGCTGTTGATGATGATGTTGTAATGCACCTAAAAAAAAAACCAGACAAAAGAATATTTGAGAATGTATGCCCTTGATTATTTAATGAGAAAGAAAAAAGAAACGATATATCTTGACATTCTCTGCTTATCTGGCTTTTCTCAACAAACCTTTTTCAACAAAAATTTTTGCACTTCTTCGTTGTCTTTTATAGGTACATGTCCATAAACCAGAATGATATGGTTGTGCATGACGTATAATTAATTGTGATTTAGAAATATTTTTTTCATTATGATATTTTTCATATATATCATAATGATAAATATTATATTTATTTGTATGATTTAAACTTGAAAAATGCCATGTTATTGATGATGTATTTATATTATATATTGTACAATCTAATTCAACAGATGAGCCTGGTTCAACATATAAACGTGAAGGTTTTATTGTCATTGGTATTTGTATTTGTAAATAAATTTGTATTGATACACTACCACGACGATTTGATATTTTACATTCATATATACCTTCATCGGATAATTTTAAATTTGAGATTTCTAAATTCCAATATGAATTATCTAATGATGTTGAATATGATGATACAAAATAACGTGTATCAGAATAAAATACTTGTTCACCAACAGTTAATGGCAAATATGTTAATGTATTTGAATCATATTTAAGCCATGTTACATGATGATTACCTAAATTTTTAACATGACATGTTAAAATAGCTGTATCTGATATATTTAATGTTTGATTATATGTTTGAGTTAAAATTTCTGGAAATTTATTTGAAATAACAGCTGTTATCAATCCATGAATCATTATCATTAGTTGGGTTACTAAAACATAGAGAATAAACAATGGATAAAAGAGATGAAGTTGATCCGCTCACGTTTACTGATTCTACTCAGCATTGCATATAATGGCTAATGATGACAAGACTCTATGTAAACGAAGGGTCAATCGTACAAACAAAATATTCGTGGCATTTTTGTTTTTTTTTTTTGTTCACATAGAATTAACCTTTTGTATGAGAATAATACGACATATATTCAACTCAACTCAACTCTTCCCTTCTCAAAAATGATATGGATTAATTAAGTTCGAACTTCTATGTGACAGGATAACAAAGACAATATAGTCATCTATCACAATTAGGTTGTTGCTCATCTCTCTCACTAACAGAGACATTGATGAATTGTACAGATGTCTAGTTATCACAGGAAGAATAGAAATGTGTCGAAAAGTAAGAGCCTTCATTATCGCTATAGACATCGACAGACTCATTTATTATCTTATCTATTGAATATGAACTAGGGGAGGAACAAAATAATGAAGAAAAGCTTTACCTAAAAAGTAATTTATTGTTGAATTCATAATTAAATTAAAATAATAATGGCTATCATTGTTTAATAAAATAAGAGTAATAAACTATCTGTTAACTAATCGTTGTATGTTAATCATTTTTTTTTAATATTAACTAGAAGAAATGATTGAGTGAATGAATGAATGAATGAATGAATGAATAAACGAAGAGAGAGAGAGAGAGAGCAACAGAAAGATGATCATGACAAGCAGAAAAACTTGCTCGTTCTCTCTTTCTCATCTTTTCGCTTTCTTTCTCTCTTCCTCTCTCTCTCGTGTGCTTGATGCATTTGTGAAGAGAAAATAAACTTTTGGCTAATGGCATTACTCACTAGATTGAATGCAAAAAAAAAGATTAATAAAAAACAACGATATTCACTTAAAGAAAAATATGATTGATTATGAACCTTGGCAGATGTGTTTTGCTTTTGTCATTTTTCTATCATTGAAGTCAATAAAGAAAACGAAAATTTTGACACATTTTTTTTCTTTATAGAAAAAAAAAGAAATAATCATTGAGGTACAACAAGAAAAAAAAGGAAGTTAATGGTTCAATAGTTTGCAATTATTATTATAGATTATAGAGCAATGAATATTGGTCGCTTTTTTAAATTTCTTTTATTCTATATATAATGATAACATGATGATTGACCTTTGAATTGCATGCATATATACACTTTTAAACCTTGTATCATGCGTGAAATTTGATCATTTAAGTTTTCTACTACCTCAGTTTAAATAAAGATTCGTCATTCTCAGTTACATCATTATATAGTTTCAACTCAATCCATAGTTCTTAATATGAATCAAGTGACTTTGTTACTTTATGACCAACAAGTAGTATACATACATATATATCAAGGATGAAAAAGATCAATCGTATCATGTGGGAAGTAGTGTCATTTGTTCTTATCGACCTTTTTTTTTCTAGGACATATAATAAATATAAAATTAGTTGCGCATTCGAGTTCTTTTTTGTTGACAATCAGAACGTTTGGTGCTGATGTTCCTTTTTTTTTTGTTATTCTTGCTGAAATGCTGTAGCTGATGCCATCGAAGACAGTTTATTATGATGCGATGAGTGAAACAGCAAGCGTGCATGCATTCTTTTTGAGATGATATGCAACGAACATGCACATATACATATATATTTATTTATTTATACATACAACGAACAGTTTGTTGTTATTCAGAGCAACTAGTTACATGCATGTAGCATCAAATTATCTGTTTGACATACATTTATTTTAAACGATTTCTAAATAGAGGACTGGCTGGCGCATGACGCAGAGGAGGACGAAATATATTATTATTATTATTAGTAGTAGTAATAGTAGAACTTGAACGAGGACGGTCTAAATCAAGAAAGAAAAAAAAAACAATAAGAAAAGAAACATTATTGATTTACTTGATGTCGATTCATTATTATTTGAATTTAATGGACGAGATTTTCTTTGTAAAGATGTGGCTTTTTTTAATGGACGAGCTTGAGTCTTTATTGTCGATTGAGCAGAACGATTAGGTACCGCTGTGACATGACGACGAATATTCTGTGGTCGTCTTAAATAAATAAAACAAAAAGAAAAAAGTTTTTAAAGAAAGTGATAATTAAACAAACCGATATTCTGATTGTTGCTGTAAATTATCATTTTTTACAGTTGAAGTTGGTAAAGGATCAATAATTGGCCGTTCTAAAGAAAAATCTTTTGCTATTTGTTGATTTGTCTAGAACAAAAAAAAAAATTTGTTTTTCTTATGATTTAAGAATTTGAATAAAAACAAACTCTTATAGTTCGCATTTTTTGTGATTGTTCATGACGAATAATCATTGATATTTGACGAGTAGATGAATATCGTCCAAATATTGCATGAATTTCATCTAATATTGATTCAACCTAAATTAAATAAATTAATTCAATAATTTGTATAGATTTTTATTTGATCTACTTGTTTAATTAATTGATCAATTATATTAATATCATCTAGATCAAGTTTAGTTTTGGTTTCTAAACATTGTGTTTGAAAATCAACAGCAAATTTTCTTGTATCCTTTATTAAAAACAAATAATCAATAAATATTTTTGTTTAGAAAAATTTACATTTAATGTTTGAATTAATCTTTTAACATGTTCTGTACGAAATAATTGTCTTGTAAGATGTCCTTTGATAAAAGCTCCTAACTTTTTATAAAGGATATTTTGTGCTTCCTTCAAAACAAAAACAAATACAATGATGATTTGAATTTATTTTTCTTTTTTTATTTATTACTTGATGAGTAAATCGAAAGCATTTTTGTGAAACTGAAAATGTTGATCGTGCATCTTTAATACTATTAAAAAGATTTTCTTGTTGTTGTGGATCAAAACCTTGACTATTAAGATGAACATATTCTTGTTTTGCATTCATTAATTGTTTTTCATTATTATTATTATTATTATTATTATTACCATTATCATCAGATGATGAATTTTGGAGTGTGTAAGTGTTTCGACGAGATTGATCTGTATAACGATGAATTTTTCTTGATGTCTCAGGAACGCCTGGAGATTTTATTAATGGATAAACAACATAAGTTGATGTTTTAAGTTCATCACTAGTTGCAGATCGACCAATGCTTTTACTTGGATCAATCCATGTTGTACAATGTTCGAGATCATCTTGTTCATCATCGGAAGTATCTAATTCAATTGTATGAACATCTTTGTTTATGGAATTCTTTAATTAAAAAGAAAAAGCAAATAAAAAAAAGAACATTCAATGATTTCAGAAGATGATTTATTTACTGTTGTTAATAATGGATCATCAAGTGTACGATAGAATGATGAGATGTCGGGTTTATTCGATAATGCTTGAAGAAGATCTTCCATTATTTCTGGGAACTAAAAAAAGAAATTTAAGAAGAACGAAAGGACCTTGCCGGATTTAGTGATCTATCTTAAAACAGGATACTAAATATACAGTTTCGTAGAGTAATTTGTAACACATCGAATAGTATATAAGAAATCAAGTTTTCTTCAAATTTTGATGTGCTATGAGTCCATATACTGATTATAATCCTTGATAAATATACGTATATATATGGTATTCATACATATTATGGTCTATAAGATGTTCTAAGATGAGCTTATACAAATTTTATATTTAATGTCAATTTGATACAGTTATAGGTATCCTTTGATTTTCTATAATCAATAGTTTTCATTGTTGTTTTATTTCCAATTAAAAATGGTCCATACTGTTAGATTTAGGTTATTTCTTGACTATATGATATTCCAGTATGTTCAATTCTGTGCCACAGAACAAGAACCTATCTCAAAAATGGTACACTATCGAGCATTATATATTTTCACTCTTTAGTCCCGGGCGTGGTATATATACCACTTCGAATATTTCTCAAAATCTGGGGATAGTATAAATACCAAATCAATCAAAAATAAGTAGAAATAGCCTATAGAGTAGTTTTCCTTTGTTGACACAGAAAATTATCAGTATTTCGAAAGTGTCGGAAATATCTACACATACTACATTTAGTATTTTCCAACATTACATAACAGATATTCTCCTTGTGTTGTCATACATTTTTATTGGAGTTCTTCAAAGTATGGCAATCAACAATGAATTTCTGTTGGAAGACTATCATCTGATTCATCACTACGTTTATCTGCTAGACATTTCCCCTTCATGTAGGAAAATAGGGTATTCTAGGAGACAATCTTGCAAGTTGACAATTAGTCCTTGCTGTTTTGAAAGATTTTATCTTTAAAATATATAGAGCTCGATAGTGTGCAATTTTTAAGATAGTTTTATTCTTGCTCGGTGGCACAGAGTTGAACATACTGGAATATCATATAGTCAAGAAATAACTTAAATCTAACAATAGGAACCAGTTTTAATTGGGAATAAAGCAACGATAAAAACTACTGATTATAGAAAATCAAAGGGTACCTATAACTGTATCAAATTGGTATTAAATACAAAATTTGCATAAGCTCATCTTAGAATATCTTAGAGACCATAACGTGTATAAGTACCATATATATATATATATATATATATATATATATATATATATTTATCAAGGATTATAATCAGTATATGGACTCATAGCACATCAAAATTTGAAAAAAACTTGATTTCTTATACACCATTTGAAGTGCCAAAAATGACTCTACAAACCCACATATATGGTATCCCGTTTCAAGATAGGTCACCAAATTCAGCAAGGTTCTTTTATTTAAATTACACTTTTTGTTTTTCTTTCTTCTCGTATTCGTTTTCGTTCTTCGAGATGTCTTAAACGATATTTTTCTAATAACTATAAATAGAAAAAAAATAAAGATTTTACAATAAGAAATCGATTAAATATGATTAACTAACTTCGCAATCATTATGTGATAATGATTTCCAATCAACATCACTAAATGGATCATTATCAAGAAGAGTATCAAGTCTTTCAATAAATTGTTCCATCTGAAAAAAAAAAAAAAACTCTTTCATTCTTTTTTATTTTTCGTTACTAAGCAAAGAAATTCTTTTTTATCTATTATCTTTCATTTTTATCACTATGTTTCCTTTACGATCAGGACCTATACTTTTATTACCTGTCGTTCAACCTCATCTTCGATTTTTTTCTCCACAAATTCCATTGAATTCAAATGCTTTATTATCAACATCATCATCTTGTAAGAGATTATTTTTAATTATTTTTTTTTAATTGAAATTTTCGATTATAAGTACCAAAATCATTTCCTATTCCAATGGAAAATCGAGGTATAGTTATGAAAAGGAGAAAAACTTATTGAGAAAATATTTTTTTTCTCCCCTTTAGATGATTTCTTTTGCGTTGATCCAAAATCACTTAGTATAGAACAACTCAATAAATATAAAAAAGAAATAATTCAATGTAAGAAAATTTTAAATGAAATATAAATTCATTTTTGTTTAATTAGTAATTGATATAGAAAAAAATAATTTTGAAAGAATTAAAAACGATTCAAATGCACGTATTAATGCTTGTATGATAGATTCTATGGAAGCTTTTTTTTTCTTTTGTTTAAAGTATTATATTTCTAGATAATCAAGGAATATTATTAGCAAAAGAAAGTAAGTGTATTTATAAATATGATGTATTGTTTAAGTACTATTTCGACTGTGAAAATGTACTTCGAAAATCTAACTATACTAGTTAATCTTCATGCAAAAACTAGTTTTATATAATTTTAGCGTCCTGTCGGATTTATTTCTGAGCATAGACCTGATATAATTTCAAATTTGGCAATTAATACTATTCGAATGTTTCAGATTGACGGTACATTATCATTAAAAGAAAGAAACTAAGTATATAAACGAACTTAAGCTTTCTAAGATCGAAATTCATTTTTAAATGTAACAGTCATTATCAAAGAATATATGTATCACAGAAAATGAATTTCGAAACATTGATCTCCGTTATTTTTTCACAGTACGAGCCGAGTTATGACTGTTTTACTGAATTTTCGATCTATAATTTTATCCATAGGTAGGTCTAATAATCCATAGAATATTCTGAAAGCTTCACCCGAAAAGAATGTTCCTTTGTCAAGAGGCTGAAGTTTCAAGTAAACTCAATTTTTGTGATATTTCTATGGCAAGCGACCATTTGTTGGAAATTCAATTTCCCAATAAATGAACTTTTTGTTTTCTGCTGAAACGTTTAGACTATTCTAAGGATCTTTAGATCTATCTGTGGACTAAATTTCAGTTCCAAATTTCATTAGTTGATTTTTCAGTAAATATCTAAAAATGGGCGAAAAATTAGTAAAATGGTCATAACTCGGCTCCGCAGACCCATTGACACGAACTCTTTTAGAACTTTTCTAGTCTGATCGAAACCTTCTCGTGGGTCCAATATGAATTCAAACTACGGATTACAGTCTGGTTAGTTATCGCATGAATGTAGCACACTTACGAGGGCACTTCTTCAAATATTCTCTTCCGATTTCCATGATTTTTTTGCCTATAGATACTACAGTATTCTAATCAAAACCGTAAAGGAATTTGGTATCCTATTGAGATTTGATTAAGCTATCGAATTTTTCACGTATCTGTTTTCTAGAGGGTTCACATATTCGAAAAACTCATATTTTCGACTTTTGATTTGAAACTTTGCGCATATAGAGAACTCAACTAGATTAATTTCCATAGAAAAAGGTCTATATCTTGAAAGTCTCATCTTTCGAAAAGACTTTGTTCAAAACACCTGAATTTCTTTATGGAAGCTGGTCTAGTTGGCTTCTCTATATACACAACGTTTGAAATAAAAATTCGAAAATACAAGCTTTCTGAAAATGTGAGACCTCTAGAAAATAGATATATTAAAAAATTCATTAGCTTAGTCAAATCTTAATAGGAACCTAAATACGTTTAGGATTTATATTATAACACTATGTAGTATCTATAGGCAAAGAGTCATTGGAATCAGAAGGGACATCTGAAGAGGTTTCATCGTTAGTTAATCATGAATAAAAACTCCAAATTCTTTTTAGTATTGTGAAATTATTTGATAGATATTAATCTGATTAATATTCGAACACTGTTAGGATAATCACTGTAGGATTAAAATGTAAAATATGATAGATTCTTCGTTATTGTAAATCTTTCTTCTACTTGGCAAATTGTGAAAAAACGTTTTAATAGATCCAAGATGAGTGAAATTCAACTCTAAACATATTGTCGTTTAGCTATAAAAACTAATTCTATCCATTCACAAAATATACCTAATACAACTTTTCTTCCTAATTTCAAGCCTACTGATGATGGTGAGTAGCACCAATCATAACTTTTTTTAAAAATCTATTCATACCTTGAAGGACCTATCGGTTGTATTGATCCGAAAACTTTAACAATCACTCAATTACAACTTTGTAAATATTTTTCATTTTTTTCTTTTCCGATAAAAAATATCTTTGCCTTATTTAGATATCGAAGGAATCACTGAAGAAATAACTTATGAAAAAAAACTTACAGATGAATTTAAAAAAGAATCTACATCACGTATTGAAGCATGTAAGTTATGTCATTCATTTCTTATTGTATCTCCTAATTTTCTCTTCAGATCAAAATGGTATTCAACGTGCGAATTACGGTTAAATAAAAACAATATTTTAGATCGTTAATTTTGTTTTTTTTTTGCATTTTTAGAATTAAGCATACGAAAAGGAAAATAACATGTTCAATTCATTAGAAAAATCGAAAAAAATATATGCAAAACTGATTAGAACCGCACGTCTCATAGAGACTGTTCAGAAAGTTTAGAAGAGAAAAAAACAAACATAACACATAGATATTTTATTTAAACGTTTCCTTCGATGCTACCATTATCACATATTCTTTCTTCGTCAAATGAAAGAAAAAGTGATTCACTATCATAAATCATTGAAGGATCCTAAAAGGAAAAAATTTTTATGTACAAAAATTTCTTTTATAAATAATAACGTTACCCATTCATCAAGATTTTCATTTCCAATTAAAAAATCAATTGATTCATCTAAAATTCCAAAATATAGATTAAAAACAATTTTATTTTAATCATTTCATACTTTTTCCTTCAGATTTACCACTATTCATATCCACATGAACTAAACAAAAATAAAATTTATGCAATCATTTTTTTTTTAAATGAATATACCTAAAGGTATTGTTGATTCATAATCATTTGTTGATTTCTAAATAATAAAAAAACATAATCATAATCATATTGAATGTCATGTAACCGGGTTGGATACCCGTCCGACAATTAATGGAATCTCGACGTTTCGAGATATTTTTATTTTCTCACATTGCTATTTATATAAAAGCATAAGAGTGAAAACCGATTCGAGTACTTAAAAAACAAGTTACAGGAATGAAAAGCGATTTTGTTTTACTACAAGAATTCGTTTTTTTAATGGAAATTCATCTGCATATGATGATAAGTTATATGATGAAGTAACTGAATACATGAAGGAGAAAATAAATTATCAGAAAAGGTGAACATTTATTATCATAATAACAAAGCATTTGTGTACATATATCCACAATTATGACGTTTGACACTAACACTACATGCTATTCTAACGTTATCAGCAACAAGCAAACATATATTTAGCGAAATTGATCAGATTTTAAAAGATGAAAGACATCAAGTGAATCTTGAATCACTTAGATTTTTTGTGGAACTTAAGATGATCTCTTTTTTTTTTGTTGGTGTTTATAAAAGAAACTGAATAGTATACTTTTTCATATAAAATACAAGTTTGAAAGCTGTACTATGACTGTGTAAATATTTGCTGAATGTCGATTAGCTCCGATTCGGTTGCAAAAAGTCGTATCCATATAGAATACTAATCATCTCCTTCCCCTTCCTCATGGAGTTTTATTTTTATTATTCTTACTGGTAATTTCATCCGTTTTTTAATTGATGTTGAAACTTCATCTATATTTCCTTGTTTTAAAACATCAGATTGTACTGTTTTAGATAACATTATTGTTCGTGTTATATCTTTGGCATGTTGTAAATCAACTTTATGATAATTTCGAAGATGTCGATAAAGATTAACTGGACAAGGACGATCACATGGAATATTTTTAACAAATTTTGTTAATTTTTTTAAATGGCTTTCTAAAGTATTTGCATTTCCATCAGTTGAGCTAGTTGAATAGGGACATGTACATTTATAAGGAACAATATCAATTTCATCAGCAACTGTTGTATTCTTTGAATTTGAAGAATTAGTTGATATTGTTGAAGAAGTAGATTGATTATTGGTATTATTTTGAAATAAATCATTGATTACGGTTGATTCAGTACCAGTACGAATAGCTCGAATTAGACGAAGAGCAATTTCACCACTCATTTGATGATAATGTCTATAGACAAGTTCAAATTAATATTTGAATTTTTTGCTATACAATTTGTGAAATAAAATATTTGAATACAAAATTTTATGACAAAATAGCAGATAGCAATACTTAAAGAATGACTTTTCTTTTACGAATTATTAGACTTTATTGTTTTTCTTTTGGAACTGATGATTTTTCTGTATGAAAAAATTCGATAAGTCGTTCATTGAATCAGAAGCTATGTTTAAATCTATTAGTCAAAAAAAAAAAACAAAGAATAATATATTCATCATCTTCTTCTCAATTTTACAGTTTCAGTTGAAATCGACTGAGTTATCAACGGTTGGATAATGCGTGAACTTGTTTAAATGACTCTTCGATATCAATTCTATAAGTTTGTATTACTCATCGAACTCTTACTGATACTATTAATCACCTTTCATGTCAAATAAACCTTTATTATAATATAATGTACGTGATAAACTGCGTTCTTCAATTTAGTTGGTTTTTTTTTACCTATCAACATTCGTTTAACTTTTCACTATTTTTACGCTGATAGGAAGTTATCATATGTTTGATATTCGTACAAAATGAGCTCTTCAAACAAAAAAAGCACAAACGAGTTCTACGATAATAATAAAAGCAACGCAAAAAAATACTTCTGATCATAGAAAGATTATTTTATTCTATTGATGTTGCGATATATTTCTTCACCATAATCTTCTAGAACTGCAATAAGAAAGTAGTTTATATATTCTATCGAGAAGTTATTTATATACGGTATGTGATGAGCTGTTTCTAACATGTTTCTGACAAGCCGTTGCTAACAAGGGAACCACTTCAGGTGTAAAATTACTTTTCGACCGAAACTATATTCATTTGATAAGTAATAGAAAAGTCTATAACGGTTCGATTTTCCAGACCTTCGTTCTCGAAATTTTACTGTTTTTTTTTTCAACAAAAAACTGTGGTCCTTCTCAAGTCACGTGAGAGTTTCTACTTTAAACTTTGCACGAACAAAATTCTTAGTGAGATCAGTTGATTGTGCAACTAGTATTTCCTTTCTGAAGATGTAAATATATGAACAAAATTTACTTTTTACACATAAGAGAATATTGAATGTCTAAGGACAGGAGACACTAGAAAACTTACAATTTGTCCAGTGAACTAATCTCATTGAATACTTTGTTTATGCAAACCGTGAGCTCGAAAGTCAATTTTTCGCCTGGCCTGAGCTTTTTGTTTAAAAAAATCATCCGTAAAATTTCAATATCTAGAGAAGGAAGGACTGGAAAACCCAAACTATTCTAAACTTTTCTCTTACTCATCAAATGAACATCGTTTTAGTTGACAAGTGATTTGACCTCTGAAGAGTTTCCCTCGTAAATATCTGTTACATCTGTAGGAGAGGGCCCAAAGTTCTACTTCTACACGTCAACACTCCTAGTACATCATTTTTCATCAAAAAAAAAAAGACTCAACATGTTCATGATTTGTCTGATATATCATTAATTAAAAGTAAGAATGAAAGATTTCCATTTTGAAATAAAATTTCAATAACATACTGAAGATGTGCAAATAGAAGAAATTTTTCATTTATTTTAGTACAAGGTATATTAAATAATGGTTGTTCATGAATAAATTCATTTTTTGTTAATGGACAATAATGCCGAAATCTTCGATCATCATTATAAATATTTCTAAAAGGCAAAAAAAAAAAAAGAATTTCTCTAATTGTTTATCAATTTTGTTTTTATAGATTTAACATACGGACTTGTATTTGATACAATATCATCTTTTTGAAATAAAATTATTTCTCGAATATCATTTTCAATTGAAGATTTTTGTTTACTTTCAATTGATGATGACATAAGTGCTTTAACAATTTTTTTAGCTGATTTTATATTTAAATTATGTGATACACGTAAATGTGATAATAATAAACATTGTTTTCTATGACGACAATCAAAATTTTTAATATTATGATTTAAATATGTTAAATTATAAACATTATTAAAACCATATGAAAATGGACATTGACCTTTATGCCAATGAACTGAATGTGAATATAATTCTTGTGTACTATTAAATGTTAATATAGATTTTTTTTTACGATTTAAATTTAATGTATTCATACGATCGAGTACAATTTTATTTGCTAAATAAAATAATAGAATTAGAGATTATTTAATTACGCAAAAGAAAAGATTTCATACCAGCCGTATTTGATAGATTATGTTTATACATAAGATGTTTTTTAAGTGATATATGTTCTGTTTTATCAGAACAAGGAAAATTTGGCATATTAAAACTTAAATAAAATCAAAAATAAAAATTTTATTTTTCAGATTTTAATAATTTAATTTTTACTTTTTTTTAATGCCATATATTCCATTATGTGTTAATGGACAAATACCTTCGAAACTATGAATTACTTTTTCACTCATTAGAATATTTTGAATGAAATCAAAAAAATAATAATACAGTAATGTAAATGATCACACAAGTTGAAACATCAGTAGACCAATTGAAGTAAGAAGGTTTCTTACAAATTTTTGATTGGTAGAAAAAATAAAGCAATAGGATGATATTGATTTAAATAGCTCTTGAAATGAATAATTAAAATGGTATTGCACAGTATTTGTGACATATGGTGCAATAACCAACATTTTCAAATGTATAAAAAGACGATGAATTTCATTTTATTTTAAAACAATTTGTTTTTTGCTTGAGAATTTTTTAGAATAATAGACCCGTTTTATATTTCATCTGAGGATTCATTTTTTAGACATGTAATATGTGAATAATAGTGTCATAAGAGAAGATCTTTTTTAAATCAGTAAGTCAACTCAATTAGCATTATATGAAGGTCTGTCATGTGATGTTAACGCATCTATTCTTGAAATTGATAAGTATTTCATATTTGCTTGCTTCTCATTAGATCGACTACAATATTAAACCGTACGTATTGCTCTCGACAAAATATGTCTCAAAAATGTTTTTTAAGGACAACGATCATTATTATATTCTTTATAGGTCATATCGACTTCTACTAACAAATTGCGATCGAACAAAACACATACAGTGACTCTCAAAATTATTTGAACAGGTTTATTTTTAATTATTGTTGTAAACTCTAATAAGAATCCAAATATTAATTCGTATAGAGAATTTTATTTTAAACAAAGATTTTCGAAAATAAAAATGATTATTTATTTTTCAAGGATAAGGTCACTGAAAAATCGAAATCTCTGTTTTTCATCTCTTGGAATTTTGTTTGAATGATCCAGAATAATAGAGCAAACAATTCTTCACAAAATGAAACGTCTTCCAACTCTCTCTACGC